AAAATATTTATTTATAGGTGCTGGTCGAGAAGCGCTGCTAAGAATAAATCTTAGAGATGTAAAAATAGAACCTGATGTAAACCTAACAGAGATAGCTACCAAACTTAAAGGTTATTCTGGGGCAGATATCACAAATGTTTGCAGGTATTTATAATACTAATTAAATGCACTTGAATAATAATATTTTACCAAGATAGATAAATTATTCACTTATATGTTTTAATAATACTTAGGGATGCATCTATGATGTCTATGAGACGTAAGATAGCCGGATTAAAACCAGATCAAATTCGGCAATTGGCCAAAGAAGAAGTGGATCTGCCGGTGTCCTTCCAAGATTTTAATGAAGCAATAGCAAAGTGCAACAAAAGTGTTTCGTCAGATGATTTGACTAAATATGAAAAGTGGATGAGCGAATTTGGATCCTCATAATTGTTGAAGATAATGAACTGTATTTTTTTTTTCTATGCAGACCATTATTTTTCTTTTTTGTTAATTGTGTATAGTAATAGGAGGACGACTAGGAACTATTTAATTTTAATTTTTATTGTTTATGGCTGTGCTAGCTTTTGAACTTTATATGCTCACAACGAAAAAAAACATACTTAAAATATTGAAGAAAAAAACTAATAATTTTTAAGTTTTTTTTTTCACCTGAAGAAATAATTTTAATTTTACATTTATTTAATTTAAAACCTAAAAAAACATAAATTATCTTGCCATTTTTATTGAATCAAAATATTTAAAATAGTCATATTATCTTGGTTTAATTTATTCTACCTGTTATTATAGGTTGTGTGGAAAGTAATATATGTAATGTTTTGTTCCATGAAATTATCTGTTCGGCACTTATATAATTTAAATGCTAACTATTCAGATTACAAACGTTGATCAGTAACTATTAGGTCTCTAATGTGATTTATACATAATAATTTATTTGTTAATTTATTCAACAAACTTAAATTTCATATTGTAAAAAAGTCACTTGTAATTTATTGAGTAAAACAAAATTTTCCTAATATTGTATTTTGTTTGTTATTTTTAGTGTTTGTTCTAGATAAATATATCCAATTGTGCATTTTTTTTTTTGTTTGATAAATTACCAGATTTATCATGAAAAATAGGTACTAAATTGAATATAATATACTCGTATCAGTAACTCTATTCTACAAAAATTAAAACTATTGGGCTTCTCCCAATATGCAGTTTACCTCTGTTTTGTTGTTTTGTGTACTACCCAACTATAAATATGAATATAGTGTGTGGTTTACCAATATCATCATATGTTCTACCTATAGACGGGAATCCCCCATCATTATTTATTACCTATTGGCTATAATTTTTATTTTTTATCTTAATAATAAAGAGGTACTTAGCTGAGTATTGGTGGCGAGTGTTAAATAAAATTGATAATATTTTTGATGCTTTCCTTAGAGATAWTAAATTATTGCCTGTAGATAATCTATAATATCTTTGTACGTATGCTTAAACTTTTTTATATCCTTTATTACATGAAAAATCATTGAAAATATTTATTTTTTTGTAAAATAATAAAATTATTTTTTTAATGAAATTTTTTAGTAAATTAAACTTTTTAATTTATACTTTTAAGGTTATCATAGTAGACCACGTCCATTTTGGTTGACTGCATATTAGGAGACGGCCGACTATAATTGACTCTTCGGTGCGTGGTGGTCAATAGTTATCGATAAGAAAGATAATAAATAAATATCTATAATCTATCGTTTTGGTGCGCGATACTTMTTTTTTCTTTTTTTTCGTCAAGTGGTATAATCCCGCCGGCAGAGTCGGCCGGCACTCGCCCAGGTTGATTCACAAAGCATACCTGCTCACCTTTATGTTTCCCTTTTAATATTTTATTAAAATTCTGAGTTTTGTAATTTTGAWGTAGGTAGGTGCTTAAGTAGTCAAGTACAGGATACTTTATGAGGGTTATGGTTTTACAATACATTGATTTTTTATGCCATTTGAGGATTGTACTGTGGCGATCTATCAAGGTGATCTATTCCACCTTCGACTACCAAAAAACAACTCAAATCACACCCATTCACATGGACAAACCACTAAATAAACAAAAACCACCTTAAAACTTCCATCCACTAGTAGAGGCATAAGACATCCCTCCAAAGCAAAGCAGATCTACCAACTTCTTTCTTCAAACACTACGAATGCTGGAAAAAAAAGCTTGTATACGAATAGTGATTTTTTTGTGGTTAATTCTGTGTCTCATCGAGTTAAATTATTATTTATGAAGAAGCAATCAAACAATTCTGAAGCCCATTATTGTTGGAATAAACCGTCTTCATTGCCTATTCTTTTAAAAGAGTACCTAATKATATATAATGACATATTTCAAATAAGCATTTATGTAAAATTGTGAAGTATTTAACGAGCGTTAAGGTCGCTTATAATTATATACAATTAGGCAACAAGCAATACATTATTACTTATTATTTATTAAGTATCAATGTTCTTACAATATAGAAGGTATTAGGTAAGTACAATGCCATATTATAAATTAAAAAATAAGCCAATTATAGGTAACTGCTCTGCTAAAAAGTATTATAGGTGTTGAGTGTATACTTGTATTAGCATTATAGAYTGAGTTACTGATCGCTGTAATGGATGAATAAAATTTGATTTCAATAATCTATGAAAATCATTGTAAGGTATACGATGCAATGTCATTCTGATCACATATGGTCAACTAAAGTCATTAAACAATTATTTGTTATAACAATATTTAATATTAACATTTTAATAATTAATATTCGTGTTAGTTTTTTGTTTTTACCGATTATATTAAAAAGGTTCTGATTAATTTCTACTTTTTATCCCTCAATGTGGTACAAACTGTATCCGATTTACTACCAGAAACATTCTTCGAAGTCGATGATTGTAGATTTTTTTTATTCGAAAAATTGTACATTATTGTAATAYTAATGAATATTCGTCGCCTGGCTAAGAATCTAAATTATCTATGAATAATTAAGAAGAATCTTCACCTATAGCTCTTTTGACCGTGGATATAAAATGTGCAATATTATTGATATCTGGCGATGTCAAAGATTTCGCACGCAAACATAATCTTACATTTTTAGCCTTCTATTCCTCCTCCTTCTCCTTCTCCTCCCCCCTCCTCCTCCTCCTCCTCTTCCTCCTCCTCCACCGCTCACGAATAGCTTAATAATCACGAGAATTCGTTATTTTTTCTGTATCTATTTTTACACAGGATTTTTACGATCGATWGCAACGTCGTAATCGAAATCCTCTAAACCTATATAAAAAAAACATTATTACAGACATGTATTTTAATAATCATCGTACGGTATATAAGACACTAAAGGACAAAGGTATTCTGTATATATATATATATATATATATAAATACGTATAAATTGGGTTCACTGGGTCGTCGTCCCGGTGTCTTCCTTGTTGTGCCATAATTATAGTTTAGCGTATATATGTATTTATTATATATACACACACACACACAAATAGTCGACGTATATACCCGTTTTTATTAATAATTCACATTGCAAATATAACCCTAGACGCGTTGTGTTAGGTATAATAGATGTAGTATAATATACAATATTATATAGGTACAATCTATATAATACATATTACGTCTTCAGTTTCGCGGTTTCCTGCGGCGGCGGTGGTAGGTTCAATGTACCCTTGAACACCACAAAGACTACGAAAAATATGTAAACATGTATATATGTATGTGTATATGATAATATGATATTATAAGTGTTGCGGTGCTTCCGGTCAAAGTGCAGTCAGTCCGCGACGCTTTCGATGTGTGCAGCTGATGCAAAGGCCGCATCCGCCGTTAGCCACGGACGTCGTCATGGTGCAGGCCGACGGACCGACAGCCGATCAGCGGCGCCAAGTGTTCGCCGTCCAAAGCCGCTCTCGCTCGATCACGATCGCTAATACAACCGACTGTGGACCAGCTGTGGGATTGATCTTACCTTCTATCGACGGATACGGGTATTAAATGATAATAATTAATATTAGAAAATCAACAATTTCTTCTTTTTTTTTTTTT